TTTGTGTTACAAATTTCGATTTTTATCATATATAATTACGAAATATTGATTGATCAATTCGATAGAACTCTCTACGCACATACTCATCGGCTATGAAGAAAAATTTTATGTAGAAGTAGTACCTAAATGAAAATGGCTAATATCTCTCATTTTATCTGAAATAATAGAGATCTATTATATAAAGAAACTAAAAAAATATTTATTATCATATTGTTTTAGTTCAACAAGTGGAACACATCATCGTTCACATCATCAACATAAATTAGGTGATTCAAATGTTGGTCATAAACTTTTACAAAAAATGGGTATGATAATAGAATTTTGTTAATAATTCTTCTAAAATATAAACAAATCTATATAGGTTGGCAAGAAGGTGCTGGTCTTGGTCGACGTGAACAAGGTATTATTGAACCAATAATGGCAAGTTCAAGTGTAAATAATGAAGGAAAAAATGATCAATATAAAGGTGTTGGTCATGAAGATGATCCATTTGAACAATTTCGTAAACAAAAAGCTAAAGGTTATGTATCTCGTTTAATGGCAGCACAAGCTGAAACAACAGCAAGACGTCATGAAAAAACCGAAGAAGATGTATCATTATCAGATCGTCAAGATGAAAAAAAAATAAAATAAAGAATTTAAAAAACCCACACACACACATTATTGTTTTGTCTTGTATATTATTAAACTATGAATCTCTCATCTTGTTTCGTAAATTAAATGATTCAAAAAATTGTTTTTTTTTTTTTTTTTGTTTTTTAAGATTAAAAAAAACATCATGGTTAAATTACAACGAGTTCAACGTCCAAAAACTCATCGTGGTAAACGTGCATTAAAAGAACGTGAACCAAAATTAATTGAAAATGTTCGTTCATTATTATGTATACGTGGAAATAAAACAAATAATATGATGAAAATTTTATTAAAAAATCTTCATCTACTTAAATCACCATATTCAAAAATGTATCAAAAAAAAAATCTTGATATTTATCCATTTGATAATACAAGTAAATTAGAATGGTATTGTCAAAAATCTGATTGTTCATTATTTGCATATGTAACAAATAGTAAAAAACGACCAAATAATCTTATTTTAGCACGTTTACATAATTATATTGTTATGGATATGTTTGAATTTGAATTAAATAATCAAACATTTCGTTCATTAGATGATTTTAAATGTATTAAATTTGCTCCTGGTAATAAACCATGTTTAATATTTCATGGTGAATTATTTGATAATGAATTAGAATATAAACGTTTAAAATGTTTTTTTATTGATTTTTTTCGTGGTGAAACAAATATGAAAGAAATTGATCTTAATGGTCTTGAACATGTTATTACATTTACACTTGATATACAAACAAAATTATTATCAATACGTGTTTTTCATATTGAATTAAAAAAATCTGGCCATCGTATACCAAGAATTGAATTAAATGAAATAGGACCATGTTTAGATTTAATTATTCGTCGAACAAAATTAGCATCCGATGATTTTTATAAGAAAACACTTAAACAACCAATTGCAATTAAAGAGAAAAAAGTTAAAAATGTAATAACAAATGAATTAGGTACAAAAATGGGTCGAATACATATGGAAAAACAAGATTTTAATCAATTACAAACAAGAAAAATGAAAGGTTTAAAACGTAATTTAATAATTGATAATGAACAAACATTAGGAAAAAGAAAAAAAATTGATTCAATTAATTAAAAAATCAATATCGTTGTTTTTGTTTTGTTATTCTTTTTTTTTGATTCGAGAATAAATAATAACTTTCATCTATGTTCTCGATTTCAGATGGCATCAAATGAACAGACAACATCAACAGTTAGTAATGCTAAAGTAACTTTTAAAATAACATTAACATCTGATCCAAAATTACCATTCAAAGTGTAAATAATAGTTTTATTTTCTCTTGATTAATTTAATTATTGTTTTTTTTTTTAGTTTAAGTGTCCCAGAAAATACACCATTCACTGCTGTTCTGAAATTTGCTGCTGAAGAAGTAATTTTAAAAAATCATTTTTTTTCTTCTTTTGTTATATATGAAAGTTTTTTTTTATGAAATTGATATTCTTTAGTTTAAAGTTCAAGCAGCTACAAGTGCAATTATTACAAATGATGGTATTGGAATCAATCCATCTCAAACAGCTGGTAGAATAAAAAAGACAAAATTTTATTTTTGAAAATTGATAATTGTTTTTTTGTTTTTAATGTTTATTTCTTTTTCTTAGGAAATGTTTTTCTCAAACATGGCGCCGAACTTCGAATCATCCCACGTGATCGTGTCGGTTATTAAAGTCGAAATTTAATTTTTTTTTTTTGTTTCTGGGATTTACTTATTTATCTTAAAAACTAAATAAATCACTATCGAAGAATCATATGAATTTCTTTTTTTAACTAGTTTCGTTTTATTTTTTTTTTATAAAAAAAAAATTCTTTTTTTCTCGTCAAATAGATGAGTGCATCATCTTCATCTGAATCCATATTACCAAAATTACCAGAATCTGAATTAGATGCATATGAACTTGAACAAGAACATGTTCATAAAGTTTATAATAAAATTGCTCATACATTCAGTGATTCTCGCTATAGACCATGGCCTCATGTTGCTAAATTTTTACATACTTTTTCCAGTGGTTCATTTGTACTTGATATTGGTTGTGGAAATGGAAAATATATGAATGTTAGAAATGATTTGATGATGGTAGAAAAAACGAATTGTTTTTCTTTTTTTTTTTTTTTGAAATTTATTTCTATGTATCATATTATTTGTAAAAATAGTAGATTGGTTGTGATCGATGTGAAGGTCTTTTAAAAATATGTCGAAATCGTTATTATCAAGTATTTCTTTCTGATTGTATGAATATACCTGTATCAACAAATACATTTGATGGTGCTATATCTATTGCTGTTATTCATCATATGAGTACTGAAGTAAGAAAAACATTACAAGAAAAAAAAAAAATTAAATTATAAAAATAGATTTTTTTATAACAATATAGAATCGACGATTAATAGCTTTACAAGAAATTGTTCGAATATTAAAACCAAATGGTCAAGCATTGGTAACTGTATGGGCAAAAGAACAAGAAATTGAAAATAAAAAAAGTACATATATTAGTAAACATGTAAAATTATCTCCATTGAATGGATCTCCGCTTGATATGAATGATGAAACAAAAAATGAATTAATTATTCATACACCACGTACAGAATTTCAACGATCTGATTGTCTTGTACCATGGGTAAAACCAACAGAACAACATTTAAGATATTATCATGTTTTTGTTAAAAATGAACTCGAAAACTTATTGAATCATATATCAAATATTGAAATTATTGATTCATACAATGATGATGGAAATTGGTGTGTCATTTTTCGAAAAATATCATAGAGATTCGAACAAAATAAAAATGTTTTCATTATGGATATAAACAAGTGATAAACTTTTTTCATGTTTTTATTTTGTTTTTATTGATTAATTAGAAACAAAGATGAATATATCAATTTTGTTTTTCTATGTCAAACAAATTTCTTATACTTAATTCATATCGTGGTCGATAATTTTAAGTAATAATAACATGTGATCACAAATTTTTTTAGACAAGGTGTTCATTGCTTTTAACTCACTAGAAAGTATTTTCGACAAGTCAAAAACTATCAGCTCGTTCTATTTTCCAATACAATCTTACAAATTTTCTATCAATTTTTGTTCTAGAATAATGAAATGATGTTTGAAAAAGATCACACAATTAGTTTGCATGAAACTTGTGAGTCGACATTTTCGGCGAACATATTTACTCATTTTAACTTGCTTAAAAACATTTCAGTAAAGTTCGCGATTTGAATTCGAATAAGGCTTTAGAAATATTGTGTCTATTTTTGTGTTCAATAGAAGTGAGAAGCTTTTTAACTAATCTGACAACATATTTTGAATAGTGACTGAACAGATTTTTGTTTACATCATAAGTAACTTTTTTGAGTATACTAAAAACTCTCGGAGTGAGCTGTTTTTCAAGAGTTCATTTTAACATAAAACGGTTGTTAGTTTTTAAAAAATGAGTATTTAGGAAAAATGAATATTGAGGTGTCTTTACAAAATACAAACAATAACTTCAAATAGTGCATATTTTTAAAGTAGCTGCTGATCTATAAGCTGATATATAAAAATAAAGACGTCAACTTTTAGTTTCGAATGGCAATAGTGAAAATACAAAAATCTGTGGAATAATTTCTGTTCAAACTAAATTTTTAGGGCGTCTTAAAGATCATTTCACTACTCTCGAAAAACAAACTATGTCAACATTTCTAAAGCCATACTCCAAAAAGAGTACAAAATTCTGGTTCTAACTCAAAAGTGAGCAAATATCTTGTCTAAAAGGTTCCCAATCAGCTGTTGTTGACTTGTTTTTTTATTATCTACATTCGAATAATATACGTGAAGAGAATAAAAATTTATCCTACTGAAATATTTTAGATTGATAATTTTTTATTTTTTAAAAATAAACAATAAATTAATGAATCATTGTTACATGCTATTAATATTAAATGTACGATTATGGATTTTACATAAAACAATAAAAACTCCATCTAAAGATCTTTTATAGTAAAATTTCTATTTGATCTTTTTTTTTTTTCTGCATGAGATAAGTTTTATATTATTGAATCTTATATGAGACAAGATAGTAAATAAATAATGAAATGCATAAATTTAATATGAGTTCATCATCGATATGGTTATATGAACTAATTTTGCGATGCTGATTTTGTTGATGTGAATATCAATATGGCTGTGAGCAAATTTGAATTATACATGAAATATTTCTTTGAAATTTTTCTTTTCTTTTCTTTTATTTAAATATGTTATGAATAGCATGAAAGTCATGATTTAGGTCTCGATAATGTTTTTTGCACATGATATAATGTAGTGATAGATATAGGAAAAAACAAAACAGCTTTTTTATTATTATCAAATAAGAAAAAAATCTATTAAACTAAAAAATAAATAATCGGTGCAAGAATAAAAATTGTTAAAAGACGTAAAATATTTATAAAAAGTAATAATTTTTCTTGTTTTAATCGATTAGAAGTATAATGTAAACTAAGACGATGTTCGTCTTCTTCATTTCTATAGTCATTATCATTAGATTGTATATTTGTATTATATGTTGTTATTGGTTGAAGACTTACTGAATTCGTTGCTCGATTATATATTGGAATTGATGTAGCTAATGAATAAGATGATGCTCGATTGGATGATTCAGGTTGATTTTCATCATTTTGATTATTAGTAATTCCAAGTTCAACGATTGAAGATGATGTCATTGGATTTGAAAATGAAGAAGATGTTGCCATGATATGCTTAAGGGTTTTTTTGAAAAAAAAAAAAGTTCGATATAAGATAACGAAGGTAAAGAAAGATATAACATACGAAGAAAATAATATCAAAACTCAAACAAAAAGTTAATCGGTAGACGTTTTTTTGTTTCATTTATTTTGTTTTAATAAATCAAACTTAATAATGAAATATTTGGTATAGCATTGAAATTTCGGTTTTTGTTTTAAATTCTAAATTGAAATTTTAATGCAAATAGGATTAAAATATTTTGAGCATGTTCTTAGACTTTTGTTGTAGTTCATTTTTTGCCGTAAATTAATAGTTGATGTTATTCAAAGATTATTTTCTTCATATAATAAAAGATAACAGTATGTTATTTGTACAAGTATATTGAACAACGATTATTAAATATTTGTTTTGAAATCAAATTCATTTATTATTTCATAAATCAATCATTATATATATTATATATATGGTTATCAGATTATAATAAATTACATAATGGTCTATATGTTTTTGATAAAGCAATCATATAAAAATTGACCTAAAATAAATACCAATTTTAGAAGGTACTTATCGTAGAATGTAATTGTGAGAGAATGATTTTTCTTTTTCAAAAAATAAAAATCATTATTTCATGATCTGAATAGAGTAAAATGAGCTGAAGATTTCTTGCAAACTATAAAAGAATATATTGATACATTAAAAAGTATTGAATTTCTTCACTAATCTTTCTCTATAAAGAAAAGACAATAGAGGAAGTCCTGTTTTTTATATTGAATATCTATATACAGGATATTTAATTTTATGTATCAAAACTAAAAAGAGAACACTAGAAAATTCTTATTATTATATTTTATTATTTAATAAAAGAATATTTATTTAAATACAATGAACATTAATTAAAAATAATAAATATGTGTATATATTGTATATTTTAATCAAATGATTATCATAAAATCTGTTTTAGTTCGAAAAGATTCTCTTCTTAATAAACAAAGATACTTGTTATATATTTCAAATGATATAATGAAGAATATGCGTGTTAAGAACATAAAAAGAATATATAAAAGTTAACTATATATTTTATGATATCTCTCATATCAAGAGTATTTTTAGATTAAAGGAATATGTCTAAATTTTTGCGACCTCTGTATATATGATAAAAATAGACATATCACTTTATTACTAATTCATCATAATTAATTCGTTTTTGTACTCTTGAAGGATGCATCGTAGTAATATGAATACCAACCGCAATTATCGAATTTTTGCTCTTCTTTTTTTTTTTTCTTTAATTACATATAATATTGCGTCTATCAGTTCGAATTTTATTATAGAAAAAACACACAGTCATCATGAAAGAAACCTTCCACACAAATAACTAAATATGGCCAATTGACACACACATACCTGCATGTGTGTAATACAAGAAATCAGAGAGAGAGAGAGGAAAAAAACAGAAATATAGATGCATTAGACGAAACAAAACAAAAAAATAATTATAGAAGACGAAAGTAGAAGCCAAACAATTCAAAACCCAAGGAGCACTGTTCGTCCATCAAACGGAATGTAAAGAGCAAAAGAAAAGACAAGACAAGAAAAAGAAAAATCATGTACATCATACAAATGAATAGACAATAAAAATAATCACTGGTTTTCTTTTCTTTTTTTTCGACAGCATATGAAAACATAAACAAAACAGAAAAACAAAAACAAGATAAAATTGAATGACTTTTTTTTTTTTGTTTTTTTGACAAAATAAATCGTCACACCGGAGAAGATTAAACTAATTCAAATGTGCTTCATGAACATATGTAAATCCATTAAATAATGGATCTTTATTTGTCACACTGCCAATAAAATGTTCTTGAACACTTGGTGATATTGTTTCCTGTGTAAATACTTTATCAACTTGACCAAGATCAGTTGGACCACTAACAGATGGTTTCCATGGTGGTGGAATTTTTCGTGCTTCTAATTTTTCCCAATCAATTTGATCAAAGAATGGTTGTCGTTTTATTTCAGCTACATCCTCTGGTCCACTACCTAAGCGTTCACTTGGAACTTTTCTTAATAACTAAAATGAGACCAAAGAAAAAAGAATTGAACAAATCTTTTCAATCAATTTCATTAACACACTTGTTCAATTAAACTTCGAGCACGTTCAGAAACATTTCCAATAAAACGAAGTGGTCGATTTAAAATATTATCATACATTTCATTAACATCACGTGAATAGAATGGTGGCTAAATAATATTGAAATTGAATATAAATACATAAAAGAAAAATAGATGCATACTCGAGCACATAACATTTCATAAGTGACTGAGCCTAAACACCACCAATCAACAGCTTTTGTATATGCTTCACGTCGTAGTACCTCTGGTGCAAGATATTCTGGTGTTCCACAAAAAGTTGCTGTTCGTCCTTCACGTCCTTCAGATGACAACATAACTTTACATAGACCAAAATCAGTTAAACGAATATGTCCCTAAAAAAAAAAAATTTTATTAAAAAAAAAAAAAAGGAAAAAGAAGAATATTTCTTTTCTAAAATAAATACTTCTCGATCAAGTAAAATATTTTCTGGTTTTAAATCTCGATAAATAATATCAAGTTTATGAAGATAACCAATAGCTGATGTTATTTCTGCTGCATAGAATCGAGCACGTTGTTCACTAAATGCTCGTTCTTGTTGTAAATGAAAGAATAACTAAATTAAATAAATTAATCAATATATATTATTTTAATGTCAATAAAAAAAAACAACATACTTCACCACCATTAACAAAATCCATAACAAAATAAAGTTTATCTGGTGTTTGAAATGAATATTGAAGTGATACAAGAAATGGATGACGAGTATTTTTAACAAGTACATCACGTTCAGCCATAATATGACGTTCTTCACGTTTTCGTTTGATTAATGCTTTACTTACAACTTTAACAGCATAGATCGTATCTTCAGTTTTATGTCGAGCTAAATAAACTTTTCCAAATGAACCTTTTCCAATACATGTTCGAAATTCAAAATCATCAGGTTTAACTCTAGAATAAAAATTAAAAATTAAATATATATTATTCTCATTTTGCAAAATAATATTTAAATATATACGAAGTTTTTTCAGTTTTGCCCAAATTAACACGAATTGTATCGGTCTAGAATAAAAATTTACAAAAATAAAAAAAGTTTAGATTTTTTGATTACCGGTGTTTGTGGATCGTCTGTATCTTCACTATTTGATTTAACAACATTATTATTCGTTTTATTATTACTTAATTGTGATGTATTTGTTGCTAATTTAGGCGATGCATTTGATGCTGTTTTAGTTATACCAAAAAATTCACTAAATTCCGGCCTATAAATGAAATTTATCGAATAAGAACAATGAAAATAAATGACCTTATCCGCAAAAATGTCAATTTAAATGAGATACTATCATCGGTAGAAATTGATAATTTGTCAGACAAGACAAAACGTAATAAATCAAAAGAAAAGGCAAAACAGAAAATAAAAAAACACGTTATTGTACATTTTTATTATTGCGTCGAAATTAAAAAAACAATTCTTTTAATCTTTCTATATATTTTGTTTTTCTTCTACTTACATATTAACTATTTGTGAATTAGTGGAAAGTTGTTGAACATAATCATTGAGACCACGTTGACGTTTTAATATGAAATCAGGTTCAAATGAGTCACCTAATAAACGACGACCGGGTAATTTTATATCGGAACGAACACGACGAAGCTAAATAATAAAAAAGAAAATGATATTTAAACAATCAAAATAACATTATTATTAACCTTTTCATTTAAGGTATGAAATTCTTTATAACGTCTCCATAATTCCCATTCTTGACCATTGTGATTTACAGTTACTTTATACTTAGTAAATTTACGTCCATTTTCAACACTTGTTTGAGCATCAACAACACGAAGTATTAATGATCCTGTTGTACTAGCAGTGGAATTGCTCGCTGTCGAACTACTCATCTTTTCTTCAAACACAAAAATAAACGTAATAATACTTAGATAAAGTAGCAGATAAAAAAGAAAAAAAAAAGAAACTGAAATATGATTATCATCATCGTCATTGACAATGACAACAATGATGATGATAAGGTACAAGCAAAAATAAAAGACGTAAAAGAGAAAAAAAAAAGGACTAAGAACGGCAAACATTGACTTGCACGAGAAAGATTAGATATACTAAGACGATGGTAAAAGATTTAGGAGAAGAACAGTGAAAGAAATATTTTCTTGCATGATCTTGTCAAATTCGATATCGAAAAAGGAAATAAGCCAAATAATATTGTACGTCACTATCATAATACAACTAAGAGAAGACGGCAATACAATCGAACGCTATAGTAACGATAATCGTGCGAAAATCCTCGACTCAATGTGTCGACAAGGCCATCTTCTTCTTCTTCTGTTCTTCTTCATCTTCTTTTTGTTTTCAACAAAACACCACACGCTCCAAACGCACAAATACACGCGTACAGAATGTAAAAGGACAATGACACGTGCATTTTCATTTTCTTCCTCTTTTACCAGCTAGCCATCCAACAAACTCTGCGGATGCTTTCTCTCTCTCTCTCTCTCTTATTCGTTCTACATGCCTTTTGCATTTCTCTCTCTCTCTCTCTGCTTCTGCTATTCTTCGCATCTATTTTATGTTTACTACAAATGTTAGGAACTCTGTTTATTGAATATCTTAAGTTTTCTCTTTTTCATAAGCTTAAATGTTTCACACATCTACTATCCATGCTTTTATACTTAAAATGCATAAATAATATGTTTTTTTTTTGAAGTATACAAAATGTTAAAAAAAGAGAAAAAAAAGTAATTAATTTATAAAAGGTGACAAAAGCCATTTGATAGACGATATTTTTGTCTGTTACTTGACAATTTAAATTTTTCTTCGCGTTTTTTTTTTCTTCATTCATTTGAATATAAATAGATTTTTATGCTAATTATTCTATATCAATGTATTATATCATGAAAGAAGAGAAACCTATTTTGTTGTTTGTCGTCGTTTTTTTTAGTCTTTAACGGAAATTATATCAGCTTAGTTAATGATTCCCTATCATCATAGACATCTGCTTCTTATTCTTTCTCACTAATCTTGTTTTTTAGTTTGAGAATTTGCGACGTGCAACCCATATTATATTTATATTCTATCGGATAGAAATAGCAATAAATGACAACCACAAAACTTCTGTCAGCAGCAATGGTTAAATATTATCGTCCATCTCAATAGAAAAAAAGAAAGACGAAGAAATCTATATCTATATCTGTATATATATATATATATATGACTAGTTGATTGATTGATATTTTGCATGTGAGAATGGTATATGAGAAAAAGAAAAATAAGAAAGATCTATCGATTAAGGATATTGAAAATCTTCAGAAACTTATCACAAATGTGAATATACACATACCTAACCACTTTGGCATGTTTGTAATATGAGAATTGTGGTATAGAATCAATAAAATATAATCATATACGGATACACGTGATCAATAATTTCCAACAGTTAATCGTCGTACCTTTTTTCTTGTCACTTTAATGCAATAATGCGCCTCGTTTAATATTATGTGAAAGTGAACATATGTCATTCATCAAAAACATCGTTATTCATTTACTGTTTAATGATTATAGTAATAATAGAAAAAAAGAAGGATTCGCATAAAATGAGTAGAAGAAATGTAAGAGTGCATAAGTAACAGACGAGAAAAATCCGATTTAAAGAACGTCATAAACGTTAGAATAACATCTATCTTGTTCTTTTTTTTTTCTTTAATGTGCTACGCGTCAGATTCATTGAAACTACTGTTACACTTCGAGTTTTTTGATTTCCGGCGTGCGCGTGCTTCATGTCTTGTTCTCTACTTTTCTTTAGCAAGACTTATATCATAATAGTATATATATATAGTATTACAATGATTTGTCTATTCTATCTGTTGAGAATCCTGAGAAACTAATAGAAAAAAAGAATAAAAAAAAAATGATCATAATATTATGAATTCTTTGCTAAATCAGTGTCATCGATCTAAATCAGTTTATATGCCAATAGAAATCTACGATCGATTTTGACATTGTTCTTTATCGATTGCTTGATTAGTATATGTAATTGATGTTGTCGTTTCTTCGCAATCGTAGTGATTGCATCCGCATTTCCATCCAAGGTTTCCGGTTACGCTACAGTTCGTCTCACTTTATTTCAGCATAGACCATGAATATACGCATAAAAGAAAATCTACTATATATTATTAGATTGAAGCGAATTACAATTCTCAAGAGATTAGTGGGAAAGTTCTCTAACGTCATTAATTATTTTAAGGATAAGGCTTTCTATTAATGTATGGACATGAATTTCTGATCTAAACGACTATATTAAATTGAACATACTACTTAATAGGTTGGTCGACATCGGTTGCATATTGTCGGACTAATCGACAAAGCCTTATAAAATATACATATATATATATTCAATATTACTTTTAGCATATTATTTGTAAAGATATTAAATACTTAATGTAGCATTTTTGCATACAATCATCTATGACTAAACTGTCTTTCATGTCATATTTTCCAAGTGATTAACTATGATCATGATAAATAATATCAATCGCATATCTTCTTAATTAAATAGTAAAAATTATGACAAAATAGGATAAAACGAGTAACTCTCATGAATACTATGGTATAGAATGAACTTATATTAATGAGATTAGAGTTTTTTATTTATCTGTTCATGTAATATATGACATTGTCTACTATGTTGCATAGATTGAATAATCTTTGTATTTGCATAGTCCTATTATTAGACTAAATTTTGAAAGAAGAACTAGACAAAAAGAAGTCAGTATTATTTTATGTTTAGAATTTTGTTGAATATGATTATTCAAAACAATTGATTATTAATATTACGATTTAATCAAAAACAAAATCTAACAGATAGCTTAAAAAAAGAATAAAATCAAAGCATGTCAAAGATCAAAAGGTTAAAAAACCCGAGTCAAATGACATACTTTACAAAACGAATAGAACTAATAATAGAAGAATATATGAGATGAAACATCTACCTCAAAAGAATTTGATGACTTACTTATTGTTGAGAAGCACATCTTTTAGTAGTTGAGAACTCTCTGTTTGTAGGCACAGCCAATATTTTTTCATATAACACAAATGAGAACACAATACAATGGATTATATTTGAATTTGTACTTTATGTTCGCTCTCTTCATATGAAGCACGCCCAACCACTTATTTACTCTTGTTTTTCTTTCACTCTCTAAGTCACATATAATTTCCATCGTTTGCTAACGAATCCACTTAGATATTAAGAAAAAGAAAAAGAAAAATGGAAAAGTAGAACGACTTAACAAGCTTTTCTTTGAATAATGAGTGTCAACTGTCTTCTCTTATTCAGTTCCGCTTGTCTGACTAAATTAGTAACGACAACTTAGCAGTTCACACACTAGATGAAGCACAATTAGAGATGAAAGATAAACATGTTTTTGTCTTCATTAGTGTTACCTTAAAATATGTATTAAATTAATAAATGTTTACATATTAATTTTAATATAAATGAATAAGTTTTTATCAAGTAAAAAAAAAAAAATATTATACATTGAATATAGACTTACATGATTAAGTACTGACGATTATATGAATCTATGCAGAATTTGTCCTTGAAAGGAGAAGAAAGATTGAAAGAAAGGGCACACAAGCAATGAAACGTGAGGCGACGGATGATGCTTTTGGCTGATTTATTTCTCTACTCTATGTGATGTAGTAAATTATCATGCATGCTTCTTGTTTTTCTTTTTGTTTGCTTGTTGTCGCGATATTGACACAGGCACTAGTAACAGCCGAAGCTTTTTCTCGCTTTTCTACGTTATCTCACTCTTTTCTCTCGCTTATTTTTATGACTATTGTTATTGTACTAACTGTCTATGTGGGTGCGTATATAGTGATTGTCGCCGAAGCAAAAGCAGTATTTATTGGGAATTATGCCAATGCATCAAACAGACCGCATTCCACATAAATGCATTCTAAATAATAGAAGAATCAATTTAAGCATTATAGTTCGATATCTGTTCTTTATTATTAACCAAATAATATTTTTAATGTTTTTTTCAGGCAAGAAACTAATCTTTTAATGAATATTTAATATTGGTATAGATTTGTTTATAAATCAATATTTCATTTTTAAGTACACGTAATTCAGCTATAGATGCTTTTAATTGATTATTTAAATGATAAAAATCAAAAGCATTATTTAAATAAAAAATATAAGATTTTTTTGATAATTGTTGATTGGTATAATAAAGTAGGACAGTATTTTGCATGAGTAAATCTAAATGTTTGTGCAAAATAATATTATAATGAGTTTTACAAATAAGACGATAAATAATCGATGATGCTTTTTTTTGTAAATTGGTACAATATTGTTCATCATTTTCTATAAAAAAAAAATAATTTAAAACAACGTCTAAAACTATATGCAGTTCATAAAGATCTATAGAGTACTTGTCATAATAAACTGTACATTAAAACAAATTTTAAAATATCAATAAAAATGAATTCACTATGAATTTTAGAGTTCAACAAAGGAAAATATTTGCTAATTAAACAATATTAATCAATCTTATTGAAAGTCTACCATGATTTTTGTAAAGGATGCATAATAACAAGTTGTTTTTTCACGAATATCATTGTGTTATTTGAAATAGCATTGAGAAATAAATTTTATATTAGATGAAATTTTATTGATAATAGCATTTCTAAGTATAACTTGATAATACACATGATGATTAAGATCTTTAGAAGTATGGCATTTTTCGAAATGTTAGACGTCTAATTGCTTTCTTTCATATGGAATTAATCTTAAAAACAGGAAGTTCTCAGAAAAAAAGATTTACGTATCAAACTCAATAAAGATCTTTTTATTGATTATTCTCTTCAATAATGTTTTTAC